ACAAATCTAAGTATCGGAATACTGATCTGAGTTCTGCTGGACTAACTTGTAAATCTTAGTTAGTGTTGGTTTGCTGTTCAAGTTTTTTGCTAGCCAGGTGGATTTTCAAAGATATATATCTGGCTTTGGAATGTTGGTTGCTGCCTCCCTGCCTCCACTTTTGTGATAATGATGCTGCTAAAGCTGTCCCATGCCTGTTGGCCGAATACCCCAAGCTTGTACTTTACCCTGAAAAACCTCATGCACACGTCTTGGAGGTGCTCAGAGCTTCGGAGGAGAAGCCCCTCTGAGCCCGCCGGCGTAATACATCTGAGTACTCCAACCGTCCAAGTGGTGCTTGTTTCTTGGCTGGCCTGTCGTTTCCGTAACAAGAGGAGGAAGGAGGCAAGAGCAGCGGATGACGTGACGATGGAAGCAGAGAGACAAGAGGAGACACCAGCACAGGAGGGGATGTGTGCTTTGAAGATGGAGGAAGGGGCCCCAGGAGCCAGAAAGGCCAGGAGGTGTTCTCTCCTGGAGCCTGCAGAAGGAAACAGCGCTTTTGACACCTCAGTTTTAGCTCCGAAGACTCATCTCAGACTTTGGACCTCCAAGGACCTCGTTGTGCAACAGGAGCGCATCTGACTCCAGACTTTGGACCTCCAGAACTGCAAGGTAATAGATATGATGTTTTAAGCCAGGTTTGTGGTCGTTTGTTACAGCAGCAACGGGAACGAGGACTTTGATAGCTCCTCCCCCTTGTAGATGCCTGCACCCTACCCAGTGTCTCCACGCAGGCCTCTGACAGGAGCCTCGAACCCAGCATTTCTACACCTGAGCTCGCACCCCCCCCTGCCCGGCCTTGCTCCGACTCCGCCTGCCCCACCTCCCAATCACTCCGGCTGAAAACGCAGACAGTCCCTGACCCTCTGTGAACCGCACACTCATGCGGCCTCTGGCCTCTTCTCCCTCCCGCCAGCCCCTCTCCTCCTGCAGTTCCTACCCTGCCACCGCTCTGCTGCTTGCTTCTGTTCTCCTTCCCCTGTATCGGCCACATACAGCTGCAAGGCAGGGCACCCCAAAGTCTGGCGGCTGAAAACAGCAGCTGTTGTGCTGTGCGTGGTTCTGCGGGCTGGGGCTTTGGTTCTGCGGGCTGGGGCTTCGGGCCTGCTGGAGGAGACTAGGGCCGAGTGGAACACGCATGGTGGGACTGGGACCCAGACTCCCAGACTGGCGGGCCCTGAGCTAGCGGGGTCTCCTGGGACAGTGAGGTTGCCCCTAGGAAGGCTGGCTCTGTCCTAGTGTGACACTGCTTCCACCCCGTGGGCACAGGTCACACACACCTCGCAGAACGTGCACAGGGCTGGCCGCCTACAGGGGCTCAAACCCCAAGATGCACAGGGGCTCCCCTAGCTGCTCCCACCATCAAACTGGGACCCCCAGGCCTTGTCTCAAGGACCGAGTCCACTCTGTCAGAGAGGAGGGGGTCAGGAGGAGAGGAAGAGGAGGAGGGACATCCCCTGGTGTCCCATGATGCCTGGCACCGAGGGCCCCTCCCCCAAGTGTGCCCCCAGCACAGGGTCAGGCTCCCGACAGCACCTGATGGGTCACAGCCAGGTGGCCGTTGAGAGGGCGGGCTGAGCTGATCGCTTTCCCCGCCCCCAGCTTCCCCAGGCTCCCTGAGGAAAGGTCCGCCTGGGCCACCAGCCTCGCCGGTCTGGCTTTCACTGTCCTCCGGGCCACAGGCCTCCCCTGCCCCCAACTCTTTGCCAGGGCAGCACTGGGCCCAGCAGAGCCCCTCACCCAGCTTCTGGAGACTTCCAGTGGGGAGACAGCGCCAACCACCCCCCTAGGCGATGGTCTCGGCAGAGAGGGGGGCTTACTTGGGGGGTGCGGAAGTGGAGGGTGTGAGAAGGGGCTTCTGCACTCGCTGACTTCGCTCAGGAGGAAGGAGTGGGCATGAGAAGTGGGACACGAGGGGCACAGCTCTGCCAGGCCCCCCGGGCAGGGGCCCTGACCAGAGCACAGCGAGTGAGGGCAGAGCCCATCTGTGAGACCCTGAAGGGGCACCTCCCTTGGGACCCAGAGCCCTTCTGGGATTTGAGACCCCTGAGGCCAGGATGGTGTGAGGCAGGTGGACTGAAGGACTCAGTGCATCCACCCCGACCGCCGCACACAGTCAGCTGGGGCACAGCATCCCCACATGCAATTTTCGCACACAAAGACACCTTCACAGTCTTGGAGCTTGCAAGACATGGCCTTAATTTTTAGAAAGCTAAGTGAGGAGTCTGGCCCTGTGAATGCTCTCCCCTCTCTGTCCATGTGTGACAGCATTACCCTCCCAAGTACAGATGCATATTTATATAAAAAAATGTGTACAACATGTAGGGAAATTAGTTGTGGTTTTTAACATACCATTTTTATCTTTTTAACTTAATTTGGCATAAAATAATGAATTCATCTGAAAATGATGTCTGTTCAAGCACAGGACTGTGCGGCAGCCCCAGGAGGTTGCGGTGGTCTGTTGGCAAGGTCCCTCTGTGAGGCAGGGTCTGTCCCTGCCCACCCTGCCTCCCGCATAGCCTGGCCCCACTGCTGGTCCTACCGGCCCTGGCTGCACATCCTGGCAAGACAAGGGAAACTTCTGGACTGTGTGAACAGACGGGATCTCCAGGGAACCAAACTGGTCTGGGCCCGTGGGCGGGTCAGTGGAGGGCCAAGAGAGAACAGGAAAATCTGGAGTCCCAGGAGGTGACCGCAGAGCAGAGGACAGAAAGGGGGCTGAGGGCGAGCTGTATCAAAGCCATACGCAGACCCCGTCGGCTCGATGAGGGGCTGCAGGGAGCCGCGGCCCTTGGGGACAGCCCTCCCCAGGAAGGCGGGCCAGCGAAGGACTCGGGCTCAGAGTAGGGTCAGGGCAGTATTCTGTGCGCTCCTAAAGCGTGAGTGACAGGGGAGGGGCTCTGCGTGAGACCAGGGTCAGAGCTCAGGGTGTGGCCAGGACCGGGACTCAGAGTGTGACCAGAGTTGGAGCTCATATTTTGACCCTTGTGAGAGCTCAGTTTGGGGTGAGGTCAGAGGTCAAACTGATTAGGGGTAGAGCTTAATAGCTTTCTCTAGGGCACCATGACCATGGTCTTCAATATTTGAGCCATGGCCATTGGGCTATCAGTCTCAGTCAGCTTGGGCTGTCATAACACAAAACCACAGCTTGGGTGACATGAACAACAGAAATTTTTTCCTCCCATTTGTGGCTAGAAGTCTGAGATCAGGGTCCTGAATGGTCAGGTTCCAGTGAGGACTTACAGCCCAGTTGGCAGACGGCTCCCTTCTCACCAAGTCCTCACGTGGTGGAGAGAGCACTGGTGTCTCATCTCGTAAGGTCACTCAGTCCCACCTTGAGAGCCCCGATCATGACCTCACTGAGCCCTAATTACCTCCCAAAGGCCCATCTCTGAAAATCATCACATCGGGGGTTAGGGCTTCAACATATAAATTTGGAGAGGACACAATTCAGATCAAATTCAGACCACTGACCTCCTCAAAATTCACGTCCTCCAGACACACAAGGAACATTTGTTTCATCCCAACAACTCCCAAAGCCTTAACTCGTTAAGGTGTCAACACTCACAGACACAGCCCTGAGTCTCACCTGAACACTGTCTAAATCCGGTGTGGCTGAGAAGCCAGGTGTGGTTCCTCCTGGCGAATTCCCCTCTGGCTGTGAATCTATGAAACCAGACAAGTCATGTGTCTCCAAAATTCCACAGTGGGACAGACACAGGGTGGGCACTCCCATTCCCAGGAGAGAACTCGGAGGGAGGGGTGGCTCCCAACCCCCAACCCAGGAAAGCAGAGCTCATGAGCTCTCTAGGCTGGAGAACTGGGTATAATACTGTGCCGTCCATACCCCCTGGGGAAGCACCATCATCCCCGGGGCTCCGGGCAGTTCTGCCTGACACACCTGAGGTCCCTGTCGTGGGCCGTGGGTGTCCTGTGCACTGCAGGGTGTGGAGAGCGTTCCTGGCCTGCACCCCTGGGAGCCCATAGCACCCTGAGTTGGGACAACTGAAAATGTCTTTGGGCCCTGCCAAATATCCAGAAATGTGGGCACAGAGGACCCCTCCACAGTTTGAGAACCACTGCCTGAGCGAAATCCTTTCACATCAAGGGATATCAACAAGCATTAGGGCACCTGTCAGTATTTGAAGAATGAACGTTCCAGGCTGGTGCTAGGCACTGGGCGCCTTGGACACGCAGACGGATGAGAAAGGCCCCAGTCCAGGGCAGCACGGCCCCAGTAGACCAGGGTTGGGGCAGACAGGGCAGCCCCACATGGAAACAGTGAAGTCACAAAGGTTTTATTTCGTGTGAGGCACCTGAGCTGAGGGAACCGTGCAATGGAGTGGGTGTCAGGGAGGGCACACTGGTGGAGGGACCACACTCACCTCTGCGTGACCTTGAGCAAAGCCCTCCCCTCTCCTGGCCCCAGGCTATGGGGGACAGAGCCCAGTCTGGTAGAGGTCAGGGGGCTGGGCGGGGGCGATGTGGAGGCGCTGGATCTCAGCTGCCCCCTGGCCTACACCACCGTGTGGTCTGGATCCTGGGCTGCCCTGCACTGGAGGGGTCCACCTGCCCTGGGAGATGGGGGCCCCTTTCCCCAGGGCTCACCCTCCTTATTTCCACCCCTGACCCTTTCCTGTGGATAAATCGAGGAAGGGGAGTAAGTTGTGGTCCACAAGGCCATCCACTGGGCCAGGAAGGAATCAGGGAAGGAAAGGCAACCCCTCCTGGTGGGAGGGGCTGGTGGCCCCCCAGATGCACTGGGGCCAGCAGGCAGTGGGTGTGGCCTGTACCCACCAGCACCTGCCTGGACCCTCCAGGGGGTCGCAGGGAGACTGTTTACAAAGGGACAGGTGGATTGAGAAGGACAACAGGGGCCACTAATTTCCTCAAGGCCGAGAGCAGCCGGAAGCCACTGGCCCCCTGGGTGTGGAGGGACAGGGGAAGGGACAGTTACCAGAGGCCTGCTGGAGCCGGTGTGATGGGACAAGACTGATGACAGGGATGGAGTCTCGGCCCCCGCAGCCCAGCCATCAGGGTGAGGCAGGAAAGATGACCTGACCTCTGACTCTCCCACCCTCAGGTCTCGGCCTGTGGAAGCCTTTATTGGATCCTCATGGGACCCAGGACACAAACAGGGTGAGAGTGGGTCTGCGCTGGAGATGGCCCAGCCCCTTCCAACCCCTCCTCCAGCAGACGCCACCCACATGGCCTTTCCCCGGCTCCCTTGCTCTAAAGCTCCCTGGTGCGCGGTGTGTGGGGATTAAGTCAGGAGGGTGAAGCCCGCAGGTGGCCTGCACACCCCAGAAGGCCCCCGAGACTCCCTCTCCGCAGCCCACATCTCGCTCCTGCTGATGGCCTGTGACGTCTAATCCAAGCTTGTCGCCCTTGCATTAGCCCCAGGGGTCAGTTTGGCTCCTGCCCAGAGCACAGTCGGGCTGGAGGGAGGCACCCCTCAACCTTGGCTCTGAGACTGAAGGCGTGAACAAGACTCGAGTAAGTGGCCTCCCTTCTCTGGCCTCACCGCCCGCTCTGAGATGCTGGAGTGGTGGCCTGGGGCCTCATCCTGGGTTGGCTGACAAATGGCCGCTGGAGGGGAGAGTGGCCCCTGCCTTCCAAAAATGGAGAGAAGGACAAAGGGGGGGTGCTGCAGCCCAGCAGGGCTCTGGAGATTGGGATCTGCCCTGCCCCCGGGGCCCTCTGGGCTGGGGAAGCAGTCAGTGTTGACCATGGGCAGTACCCACCCACCCCACCCGCTGGCAGAGCAGTTTAAAGCTGCCCATGGTTCCTCCACCGTGCCCACCTGCAACCATGAAGACTGTCATCTTCGCCCTGCTAGCTGCTGGCTTGGCCCTGCGGCCAGGGCCAGGGGAGCTGGGCTGAGGGTGGGGATGGCCAGAGGGCCAGAGAGAGTGGAGGAGGAAGGAGAAGAGGAGGTGGAAGAGGGTGAGGGAGGCCAAGGCAGGAAGAAGGGGCTCCGGTCCATCCTGGTCCTCTCTGGGGCGGCTCAGTGAAGCTGGGATGCCCAGGGTTGGCTCCCGGCAGTCTCCCAGGGTGGAGGCAGGCAGGCAGTGCCAGGGGTCCCTCCTTCAGCACTGTGGGGCCCCACCTGGCTGCTGGAGTGGGGAATGGACAGAAGGATGAGCTGAGAGCCTGTGGGATGAGTAGGAGGCCCAGGGGCCAAGAGCCTCAAGTGAAGAAGGGCCATGGGGGAAGGAAAGTGGGAGAATGACCAGGTCCCACTCCCCAGGCCCAGCCTTGCCTTCAGACGTGGGCAGTCAGGGTGTCGGGTGCCCAGGCAGGGGTCCTCGGGTGGGAGGAGGGTGCAGGCCTGCACTGCTCTGGTCTGCACTCAGGCCTGGCTTGGGCTCCCCTGACCTAGGGTCCGGGAAGCTCTCAGAGCCTCAGCATCCTCTTCTGGGAAGTAGGGGTCACGACAGAGCTGTGAGGTCCCTGGGGTCGGCCAGTGGCCAGTGGGTGTGGGGCTGGAGCACAGGGCTGGCTACCTGGGGCCTGCAGAGACCTAATCATCATGACAGCTGGGGCCATGCCCCCCCCCATGGACTGAGCGGGGCCGTCCTTGGGCGCCCCCAGTGTCTCACAGCTCCCGGGAGGCTGAGTGCCTGGTGGCACAGGCAATTTCGGGATGGGTCCTATCCACTCTGCCCTCACCCGCCTGGTGCACGCGCCTCTCAGGAGCATGGGCATCTCATGGTAACAGAGCCCTGCTACCAAGGGGGCCGGGCACTCTCCACTTCATGTGACCGATAAGCAAATGAGGTTCCCCCCCATCCTCCCCTCCCCACCCCGTGGGAAGGGGCTGGCCAGGCCCCCCCAGGCAGCCCCCCCAGGCTCTGCCCTGCAGTGCTGCTCCTGCCAGGCCCAGATCGGCAACAAGGACTGTCAGCAGGTGCAGAACTGCAGCCAATCTGAGACCCAGTGCCAGACCGAGCGCACCCGTGAGTGGCCCCGCTGTCCCCGCAGTTCTCCCTGTGACCCTGCCCCGCCCCCTGCACCATCCCCTTAGACCCCCTGCGCCTTCCCTCCATTGATAGGAACTCAAAGAATCTGGCATTAGGTCTCTGCCACTGAACTGTTCATCCTTCTGCCCGCCTGTCCCCCTGCCCACTGGTTCTTCTGTCCGCACGCGGATATAGCGCTCAGCCCCCATCTGCCCACCCCGCCTCCCACCCCTCATCTACCCATCCCCTCACTGGATATGCATCCATCCATCCATCAGCCGTCCATCACCCACCCTGATCCACTCATTCGTCACCCACTTCTAGTACCAGCAGGTCTGGGTGCCCTGGACACGTGGACAGGGACAAGACCAGATCCCTGCCCTCACTCTGCTTGCAGTCTCGATGTCCATCCAGGGTGAGTTTTAGAGTAGGGACAGTTGGGACCCCCTGGGAGCTGGGCAAGGCCAGGTGGGTGAGTCTCCAGGACCCGGCCCTAGCCTAGCAGTCCCCTGCCCTCCCCCACAAGCATCGTGGGCCTCGTGACCGTCATTAGCAAGGGCTGCAGCGTGCACTGCGTGGAGGACTCAGAGGCCTACTACGTGGGCAAGAAAAATGTCACATGCTGCTCCGCCGACCTGCGCAATGCTAGTGGGGCCACGCCCCGTGGCCAGCAGCCGTCACTCTGACGCTGCTCCCTGCTCTGAGTGGGCTGCCACTCTGGGGCCCCACAGCTGCAGCATCTGGGAGGGCCGCAGGCCCCATGCCTTGCAGTGGTGCCCAGAGTCCCTGGGGCACTGATTACACACACCCAGACCCTGACTCAGGTCGGGCTATGGCCCTCTGTCCTCTGCAGCTCTCCTTTGCTCCCTCCAGGACTCCTGCCCAGCCCCTACTGCCCAGGAGGCTGGTCTCTAGTGACATGGAGCAGACTGCCGATGGCCTGTCAGACCCTTGGGCTCTGGGCTGCAGCCGTTTCCACTGCCCAGTATTCTTACCCACCCCTTAACCCTCACTTGGGCACCTCTTCCTCCAGGAAGCCTTCCTGCCTGCCCCCTCCATGAGCTAAGCCAGGTCCTGCCTGTCGTGCCCCCTGCACCCAGCATGGAGGAGGCTCTCACGAGGGCCCTGCTGAGATGAAAGGTTCTAAGTAGAAATGGAGTCCAGGGTGTGAGGTCCCGGGAACCTCAAGAGATGAAGCTCGGAGCGGGGACCAGCTCCCCGGGTTCACGGGGGAGCAGCAACCCAGCACACACCTTAATAAAGGCCCATTGGCTTGACTGCAAAGAGCCTCTGTCCTTGCATGCGCTCAGGTTGAGGTCAGGTTTGGGGTCCAGGGCTGCGTGGGGTCATCACCTGGGCCCACATCTGTGGCTGTGGCTGTGCCCTTGGCCGCATGGGGAGAGCTCTGGCCCAGGGAAGGTGCAAACGTCTGACTCCTGGAAGGAAAGACGTCGCTGCAGGAGGCAGGGCAGCGTCCCTGGGGCCTCCCGGCTCTTGCATGTTTCTCAAACTCTCGGAGCCTCAGATGCCCACTATGACCTCTCTCTGCTGTGAGGACTGACCCAGAGACTTCAAGGAGTGGAGAGATTTCCTAGTGGGAGAGGTTGCTAAGCCATGAGGCTCCCAGGGCACCTGCTCTGTCCTCCGCTTTCAGCTTGAGGAGACCCCTCTGTCTGTTTCTTTAATTTCTTATTTTGTTTGTTGTAAGTTCTCCACAGTCAAATAGTACAAAAAGGTCTCCAGTGTTGGGCTGGCCGCCATCCCGACCACAGGTCGCTCCCTCTCTCTAGGGTGCCACCATCACACTGCTTGGGGCTCCTTCTAGGGTAACTAACTGTGAGTCCAGGGGACCCCCCCCAGAGGACATGGCCCCTGCCTGGCCTTTTCCATCCTTGCGAAAGCCCCTTTGAAAACACAGCCTGCCCCCCTCCTTGGGGGGAGGGAGTGGTCTGGGCCAGCGCTGGGAGTCCTGGGCCAGGTTGGCACCGACCTGCACAGGACATTTCTGGCCCACATCAGGCACTGGATGGTGGATGAGACAAGATTAGAGCCCTGTTCCTGGAGCTCTGGGGAGGGGGCAGGAACCCAGCAGCGGTGGGGGCAGGGTCACACTAACCAAAGAGTCCAGGCCAGGGGCCCAGCCATCCCCACGCAGCCGTGTCCCGGGTGGTGATGTCAGGAGGGTATTGTTCCCACTACCAGTGCCCAAGTCACCACAAGTGCTCTTGCCTACCTGCTCCCGCCTCCGGCCCAGCCCACTGTGCTCACCTATGCGCCCCTCTGGGGCCCAGGGCACATGCAGCACAGACCTAGCCCGACCCCAGTCCAGGGCTCAGGGTCCAGAGCTGGGTCTTTGTTTGCTGGGAGGGTGTGAAGAACTGGAGGCCCCCAGGCAGAGCTTCAGGCCCAGTAGTCAGAGGTCGGTGTGGGACCTGGGGCCTGAGGCTGGAGCTTGGGCCAGCAGTGGCCTGGTGACTGGACGACATGCAGGACTGGGCTTCCAGCAGTGCTCTGACCCCAGAAACTGCCCTCCTAGGCTTGCTGACCCTGCCTGGGTGACCGCAGAGGAAACCATGTGCTCTGTCCCCTTAGTAAATAGTCACAGGGCACCTGCTCATTCCAGGCACTGTTGCAGACACTGCAGAAACAGCTGTCACCCAGGCTTGGCTGAGTTCTCCCTGTTCCCTCTGACACCCTAGCGCCACCCCTAGGCCACGGAGCTTACAGGACAGTGGAGTCCGATGAACAGGATAAACACGGAAATGTGCAGCACGCCAGTGGTAAGAGCCAGTATCAAAAAACAAAGCAAGAGACAAGGATTGAAAACACTGGGCTGGCCGGGGAGGCCTCCGCAGGAGCCAAGGTCCAGAGGGAGGGACTGCGGTGATGACAAGCAGGGGTCGGAGCCCACGCAGCCCACGCAGTAGCCATGCCTGTGGCGAGATGCTCATTCTTGGGGCTCTGGCTCATGGAGGTGAAGTGGTGTCCTGGGCCCCTAGACCCTGTTTTGGGCTCCAGGTTTGAATTATTGGGGCCAGGCTGAGAGGAGAGAGCAGGCAGGCCCCGAGAGGCGGGCGTCCTGGCGGGGCTCCCCGCACCCTGCCACCTGGGGCATCATCTCACTTCCTGAGCTGTCCCTGAGGTCACACGTCCTCGAGCTGAGGGCCTGAGGGGGTTGGCCCTGCCCCTCCCTCACCCCAGGATGGAGGAAACACAGGAGTCTCTCCGCTCCAGACCCAGCACATCGGGGCAGAAGCCTCCCAGGGTCCCTCACTCGCGCCACACTGTCTCATCTTCAGAAACTGCGGGAAGGCAAGAAAGAAGACAGCACAGAACCCACTCCTCAAAGCCTAAAATGAGCTCTGTCACTGTTTTCCCCGTCTTTGTGGTGCTTCCTGGGCACAAATAAGCTGGTGCGTACTGTGAGTTTGCACATCTGGGTCACACTCTCTTCGGGAAACCGCTTTTTAAACGTCTATCTCCCCATAGTAAGGAACAGAGACCCCGTGGTGGTTGAGGCGCTCCTCCGGGCAGACTGACGTGGTTTTGTTTTCAAGACGCCATTTGCTGAGCATCCTCCACATGGAAGACACTGTCCTGACCCATCTGTATCTGTAATAATGGGTGACAGCAACAGCAGACACGCGTGCCCTCAGCCCGAGCCTGGCACTTGTCCGTGGGCCTCCCATGCGTCATACATCCATTCCTTACCACCCCCTTTGAGGTAGGGCTGCAAGAGGAGAACCTGAGGCACAGAGAGGTGAAGCCACTTACCCAAGATCACACAGCTGGTTAGAATTGCTGAGGGTGGAAGCTCCAACCCCAGTAGAAACAGGCTCAGAGAGGTGAAGAGCTGCCCTGAGGTCAAGAGCTGGCTCCTTCCACCCCAAACCAGGACTCCTGAGTGGATGTCTCCTGCCCTGGCCCCAGCTCCCAGCCACAGCCAGTCCCAGGCTGCCCTTCCCTGAGGACTCTGGCTCAGCCAGACCATCCATCTGGCCCCTCCAGGGCTCAGGTTGGTTGGCTCCCCCCAGGCTGATGACTCACTTGGCTCCCTGGGGATGCCCCCGCCTCCACCACTTGACTCCAGCTGCAGCGAGGAGTCAAGCTAGATGGACAGGGAGGAGTGTGGGTCTCCGGGTGGGGACAAGGAGGCCCTGGGGAATCCCAAGGGGCCCTTCCTAAGTCAAGAGAGACTCAGAGTTCCTGCCCAAGTGCCCACAGCTGCAGGGTGCAGAGCCGGGACCCCATCCATCTGTCCCACAAAGGCTGTGGGGCTGGATAGCCCCCAGGTGAGGGGTCCTCCTGTGCCCAGTGCCTGGACTGGTAATGGCCTGCTGCCTAAACAGCACCACGCATCCTCAGGGCCCAGGCCTGCGTCACCACCACCGCAGAGTGCTGGGGACGCCCTACCCCAGGGCAGACAGCACCCAGAAAAAAGCCCCAGCGAGCCGCCAGCCACTCTGGGAACAAATGGTTCAGTCTCCCTCAGAGTTATCTGGGGGAAAAGGAGTCGCCGGGTTCCGTCCCTGGGCTGTGGCAGAGCCATCACCTACTAGGGTGATCACCCCCTTTTTATGGACCGGAGTCTCAGGCCCACAGTGGGCTCACACTGCGGACAAAGAGGTCTGGCGCCTTCGCCACCCCGGCTCTGGCCCGCCCGCAGGCTACCCCTTCACGGCAACGGCAAGGTGATCAAGGTGTGCAGGGCCGCGCGCAAGCCCTGGAACCCGAACGGGCCGGGCCAGAGGAGCTGCCGAGCGGCTGCCGCCAGGCTCTGTGCGTCTCGCGCGGCGCTCCTGGGATCCTGGGCGGGGCCGGAGGCGGGTCTGGGGGCGGGGCGGAGCCTGGGTGGGGCCGGGTCCAGGGGCTGGGCCGCCGCTCTCCAGCTGCTCGCTCCGCTGCTCCTGTTCTAAGGGGCAGCATCCTGAGCCCCTGCTCCTCCTGGCTCTGCAGCCTCCAATCCAGGCGGCGGCCACTAGAACTTAGGCTCCGGACCTGCCTCTGGCAGCGATGTCCGGCGCTACCCATACATCAGGGTCCTCGAGGAACCAAGGAGACCCAGGAACATCCCTCCGCTGCTCCCCCACCCTGCTTGGTTCCGCAGGCTGGGATACTCCAAGCCAGGGCCGAGGGAGGGGATTCCAGGGCCGGTGCCCAGACTCCTTCCAATCCCCTGATAAACTGCCAATGACCCACCACAAGATATGTGCATCCATTGTATGAGACTGAAGCCGCAGGATGGCAGAGGATGGAGGAGGCGCTGGTCCCTACAGCATTCTTGGGTTCTGAGCGCCCTTAGTGCACCCGGCATCCTGCTGGCCCTAGGATTTGGCAATCAAAGAGGCAGACCAGGCCCTGGCCTCCTGGCCTCAAGGTCCAGCAGGGAGACAGCACCCCCTGCCTACGGAATCACATCCATGAGTAGTGAGACCGGGGCTCTGGGGATCCAGCCCAGTCTAGGCGTCAGGGAAGGGGAAGATGGGAGGGGAGGGTCCCCCGGCAGAGGGAACAGCATACTGCAGTGTGTGCATGTGTGTGCGCGCGTGCGCGTGTGTCCGTGCGCGCCCGTGTGTTGGGCAGCAGCCTGGATACAAGCTCAGGAGGAAGCAGGGGGAGGGAGTACTGGCTGTGAGGAGGGCGGGGCAGCGGTCTTGTACGTTCTGGGCTAGTTTCCCACTCCTTAGCCTTCACGGACATCTCCAGGTCTCTAGCCGCGAGGAGACTAGACGAGGTGGGTGACCAGGAGGCTGCATTCTCAGAGCAGCAGCCAAGGGGGCTCTGAGGACATGTCATTCCATTGGATCTGAGAAGTGAGCCCACCCCTGGTACGGACAGCTCAGGGCCGAGCCAGGCCAGGGAGAGCATTATGGGGACAAGTGTGCGCAGTGTGCCAGGGCTTTCCTAGCGCATCTGATGGGAATGAGCTCCCTGCCCCTGGGAGCGTCCAAGCAGATCCAGGGACTCAGGAAAAACCGGATCCCCCTCTGCGCAGCTGCCGGTCCCAGAAGCAAAGCCAGAAAAGCAAAAAACAGCCTCTGCCCCAAAGGTGACCAAGGTGCAGGAGGCTGCCCAGCCCCAGTGTGGACTGTGGGATGGGGCTGGCCCCGGGGCTCCTTCTTCCAAGAGTCCTTCGAGAACCCTGAAACCCCAGGCCCAGGCAGGTGTGGACTGAACTACAGCCTAGCTGGCTCGGTCCAGCTGCTGCCGAACCTGTTCTCAGAGCCACTGGTCCCCAGAAATCACTCAGTACCTCCTTAAACCCACCCATCCCCGGACTCCAGCACAGACCTAAGTAGGCAGCCTCTGCGGTCACAGACAGATGCAGTCGTTGGAGAGCCCTGGAGGCCAGCTGGGAGAGCTGGCGAGGCCTTCTCTGGGCCTTCCCCCTTTGGTCCTGCAGAGAAGAGGGGCAGGACACGTGACTGTGTGACACATTCTCCTGGACAGGCGTCCCAAGTGCCTAAGGCAAGAAGCCTTTGAATCCACTGCTGAGTCATTTACATTTATCAACTCCTCCCGCTCCATCCCAGTTTCTAAAGGGACAAAGGGTGGGAATGCTTGGTAATGATGGTTATCAGGATCCTGGGGGTGGAGGGGTGGGGAGGGATGAATGAGGGGGAAGGGTTAGTGAGGTTACAGGCTGGGACTGAAAAGGTGTATTGGGGCCAGGCTCTGATGAATCCGCCGCACAAGCGCTGGGGCTATAGCCCTGCGGGAGTCGGGAGCTCTGGAGGTTTTGGAGCAGAGGAGGGTTGGTTTCCTGTAGTCTCCAAGCAGCGCCACCGGGGACCGGGCTGAGTCCATTTCTAACCCTAACCCTAAGCCACGGAAGTGCTGGAGACTTTGACCCTCCCAGATTAGAGGCGGAATCTCTGGGGCCAGTCAGGCTCTACCGGGGCCACGGAGAGGCGCAGGGCGGCTAGCGCTCCGAGCAAGGGCGCGACGCTGTGGGAGATCCGGGAAGCTCCTGCGCCTGCAGAGCGGGGCGTGGCCGCCAGAGGCCGCTGTGGCGCTTGGCGCGCCGCCCCGTGCCCCGCCTGCCCCGGGGAAAAGCGAAAGCGGCGCTAGCGGCGGGGGATGGGACGGACCACTGAGAGTTGGGGGGGGGGAAACAGGGCGGGGCTCCAGCCTGCGGCGCCGGCGACCTCTGGCGCTTTTCCCCCTCAGCCGGCCTCGCGAGGTGGTTCGCTCCGGCCGCGCCGCTCTCGCGGGTTCCCAGGCGGGACCGCGGGGCGCGGGTAGCAGCGCTCTGGCCACGGCGCCGCGC